AATCGCCGGTAGGGGCATATTGAACATATTTCAGGCCCAAACGACGCCATGGGGATCAGCGACCCTTGGATTGTCCCTGGCGTCGTTTGGGCCTGAAATATGTTCAATATGCCCCTACCGGCGGTACCAGTTCCAAATTTCCAGTTTGCCCCGATAGCTCCGCTCCCAGGGCGAGTGCCACCAACGGCCACAGGGGCATGCTGGAAAGTTGCAGCCCTCATTGACAGGGGCCTGCAGTAAACTTCAGAGGCCCCTGGGGCACAACAGGGTAAGTTGGCCGTTGGAGGGGCATTTCGAAAATCCCCCGAACCTCCCAAAAAAAGAAAAGAAGAAGAAAAGAATGCCCAGTCATGATTGCTGTATCAAGACTGAAAGTTGGCCCAAATACAGCTATTTACCGGGCCTTCTGTTCGGCTGATGAAGGTAGTAATGTCAAGATAGTTACCATGGGGATCAGCGACCCTTGGATTGTCCCTGGTAACTAATTGATTACCTAGGCTACCAGCCGGGCCGCCCAGGTCCCGGGTGGCCAGCCCGTGCAAGGACCAGGGAAGGTCCCAGCAAAAAAAACAAAAACAAAAACATAAAAAAAATCCAAAAAATTCAAAAACAAACTATGTCATGCAAAAAAATTAACCTGAACAACTTTTGCCTCAGGGTCACATCGAAATTCTTCACCAAATTTAGAATAAAAAATAAAATTTTAAAATAATTTTTTTATTTTTTTTATTTTTATTTTTTTTTGGCTCGGCCGGGGAAGTGACCCCGGGCCACTCTGGTAGCCTAGTTGATTACTATATTCTCGCCCAAAAAAAACGAACCAACACACTGTCAGGCTTCTTTTGGCTGCCGCCACCAGCCATTTTGCTCCAGCAGCTGAACCCCGAGAATCGCTGCGTGCAGCCACACTGAAGAAATATGGCTGGGAAATGTACTGGTGGTTTTGGGAGATAATTGATCATTATTCTTTTCAAAGAAAACCAAATCGACACCGGCCTCCTCTTGGCTGCCACCACCCGCAATTTTGTGCCCGCAGCCGACCCCGACAGTTGCCGCATGCCACCGTGTCAAAGAAAAATGGCTGGGAAATGTAGTGGTGGTTAAGCTTCTGTCTGCATCGGGAAAACTCCTTTTCCACTACAGAAGTTCAAAGAAAAAAAGGTTCCGGGGACTATATCCCACTAGAGAGGGCTTAACTTTGGTTTCCAGTATGCACTGGCTCCTGCCATACAGTCCAGTCCCACTACCATCTTCACTCGAATATAACGCCCGATCATTATAGCAGCATAATATAGCTGTATTGGGGGAATTCTTCAGTCCAGATGCAGCGATAATGACCGGGTGTTCTGTTCGGGTGAAGACAGTAGTGAGGATTTAGACTTAGTTTCCAATGCGCACTGGTTCCTGCCATCCGATCTCAACATCTCACAGCCACACAGTGGCCACATCGAAAAATACTCAGAAGCTGCTAGTGGGACACATGCCTGCTCTTTTCACAGACTGCTCACTTTTTTGATCCTGCAGGAGGAGGAGATCCTGTTTTATTTCAACATCTGTTTTGGTTCACAGAGCAGCACCAACCAGCAGCGCCACGGTAGCAGCACCGGTGTAAACAGCAGCAGTACCAATGCAGTGGACAGGTGCAATATCAGTGGCAACAAGGGGAAGTTATGCATCTCTCTTCCGTCCCAAGGCCGAGGTCCCTTCCCCAGTGGTCCTAAAAATAGTCTGCCTATCTGCTCTACTTGTAGCAGCTATCCCACTGTTTTAACTCTGCAGACCCCCAGGGTCCTGCATCCCGCTGGGAGGCAACCTGTATAGAAAACCCAGTAATGAGGTCATTGGTGAGCTTTTGTATCTCTTCACCCTTCGAGGGAGGGTGCCAAATAGGTAGTTAGGTGCTGATAGGTCGGCCGCTTTCAGAATTTCCAAGCGGGTTCTTGGGAAAGATCACACGCATGCCCAAACAAGCCCCGATCTCTCCCCAGCCCGCAGGGTAGGTTTGCTCCACAGCAGTGGTGCGTGAGTAACGCTGTACCAGCCCCTCATCACAGGGTAGGTTTGCTCCACAGCAGTGGTGCTCGAGCAACGCCGTACCAGCCCCTCGTCACGATGATGTGGGGATGGGCAGGTGTCGCCGGTTGGGGAAACCGACAGTGCTAATGCCGAGCACTATGGCAAGTTGCTGCACCTCCCCGCCTAGCGGTGTGTAGTAGTCAATATTACTTTTGCATAGCACGCAACAATTTTGGCCAAGATCCTGCCAATGCTGATCTGGGGGCCCAACGGGGTATGCCAACGGGGTATCTCTAGATGGTGCGACACCAAGCATTCCCAGGGACATACGTGATGCCAATGGGAATTGAACCCACAACCTCCTGAATACAACTTGTGTGCCTTACCAACGGGGTATCTCAACATGCTAGGACACCAAGCATGCCCAGGCACATACGTGAGGCCAATGGGAATTGAACTCGTAACCACCTGAATGCAACTTGTGTGCCTTACCAACTGCACATCCGTTAAAATTAAAACATCCGCTACAGAAAAAAATTGCATGGCCCCTTTGCAACGATGACATGCATTATATTGAGAAATGGTCAAAAATAGAATCAGGATGTTATCCACAGAACAACCATCTTATCCACAGGACCATCTCGGCGTTATAACTAAGAAACAGGTGTCGTTTCTGGTCGTTCCCCCCCTACCCCCTCCCTGTGCTATGGAAAGGATGACTGTCTTGTGGATAAGATGACGGTGCGGCGGGGCGACGGTACATCATATTCCTCTCCTCGTGGTAGTTCATCCTCCCTGATTAGTGAGCAATCAATTCAGATTCAGAATCTGCCGATGGGGGAAGTAATTAATGCTTCTGGCGATTGATTGCAATTGACAGTTATCTTTTCTGAATCTGTCGACTGTAGGGGCAGATGACAGTCATTGACAAATCC